CTCAGTCTCAGCAACTTCTTACACAACATGTCTCCAGAGGCAAGAGAAACAAAAGCAAACATGAACTATTGGGACCTCATCAAGATAAAAAGCTTCTGCACCTTGAAGGAAACAATCAACAAAACTAAAAGGCAACCAATGGAATGGGAGAAGATATTTGCAAATGACATATCAGATAAAGCATTAGTATACAAAATCTATAAAGAACTTATCAAACTCAACACCCAAAAACAAACAGTCCAATGAAGAAATGGGCAAAAGATGTGAATAGACACTTTTCCAAAGAAGCCATCCAGATGGCTAACAGACACATGAAAATATGCTCAACATCACTCATCATTAGGGAAATACAAATTAAAACCTCACATCTGTCAGAATGACTAAAATTAACAACGCAGGCAACTACAATGTTGGTGAGGATGTGGAGAAAGAGGATCTCTTTTGCACTGCTGATGGTGCAGCCACTCTCAAAAACAGTGTGGAGGTTCCTCAAAAAATTAAAACTAGAACTACCCTACGATCCAGCAATTGCACTACTAGGTATTTATCCAAGGGATACAGGTGTGTGTTTCGAAGGGGTACATGCACCCCAATGTTTATAGCAACACTATCGACAATAGCTGAAGTATGGAAAGTGCCCAAATGTCCATTGACTGACGAGTGGATAAAGAAGATGTGGTATATACAATGGAGTATTACTTGGCAATCAAAAAGAATGAAATCTTGCCATTTGCAACTACATGGATGGAACCAGAGGGTTTTATGCTAAGTGAAATTAGTCAGAGAAAGACAAATATCATATGAGTTCACTCAGATGTGGAGTTTAAGAAACAAAACAGATGAACATAAGAGAAGGGAAACAAAAATAATATAACAACAGAGAGGGAGACAAACCATAAGAGACTCTTATATACAGAGAACAAACTGACGGTTGCTGGCAGGGTGTTGGGTAGGGGGTTAAATGGGCTAAATGGGTAAGGGACATTAAGGAAGACACTTGGGATGGGCACTGGGTGTTACACATAGAGGGTGGATCACTGGAATCTACTCCTGAAATCATTATTGCACTATATGCTAACTAACTTGGA